AGAGGACACATCCTCTTGAGGAAAGGAAAGTGGCCCAGATTTTGACACGCTGGTCAAAATCAGAGGTGTCAGAAACGCGCTGCACACTGGGATGGCTTAGACAGTCTCATGAAAGAGAGAGCTCTTATTTTCAATAACTTGTCTCCACTGAAGGCATGCCGGGCTGTGAGTCACGTTCTGTGGCCATTTGTGCACTAGAAGGTTAGAAATGTGGTTTTTTTAAAATGTTTGGGTGAATACGGCTAGTCAGTCAGTGTTTGAACTGACACCATTTAATAGTTCTAGCACACGGTCTGCTTATAGCTATCAGTCTCAGGTAATGTGTTCGTTTCTGGAAATGCAGAAGGTCCTTGCCTAAATCCATGCAGCAGAAGGAATCGGGCGAGCTGTGGTAACCTTGTCAATCCCACATACAAAAAGTAACGCATTGGCCCTGTACAGCCATGCATTGGGTATATAAATTATGCTTTATGACGGGGCAATGCACGTGTGTGCATGTGTAACTTGAATTTAGAAAAAAGTATGGAGGAAACTCTGCCGGTGACTGTTATTCCTGCTAACCTAGCAGTTCGAAAGCATGTAAAAATGCGAGTAGATAAATAGGTACCACCACGGTGGGAAGGTAATGGCGTTCAGTGTCTAATCGCACTGGCCACATGACCACGGACAAATGCTGGCTCGGTGGCTTGGAAATGGGGATGAGCACCGCCCCCTAGAGTCGAACACGACTGGACAATTGTCAAGGGGAACTTTTACCTTTTCATGGAGGAAATATCCTTTTTTCCATGCCCCCTTCTGCTTTGAAGGCATAGACTTAGTTTAAAAAAAATTAAAAGACATGGAACAGCCATCTCTCTTGTAAAATATTTGGCCCTCATTCATTGTTGTGGTGGATAGATTACGGAATCCAGAGCCTATATTTCCAGTCAAATAGCCCACACATGATGTATTGCTTCCTCACTTCTCTCTCCAATTCATCCTCTGCCGGCGACTGTTATTAACGCAACCGCATTGCCTGCCGAGACGGAGAGAGCACTATCTGACAGTTAGAGGGGGGTATATTATCCCCTCAGTGCATGGCTGCTTACTTTCTCAGATGCAACAAGATGAGCACGTTGCCTGGGAGGGTGCCAGTTTCCTTAGCATTCTGAAGCTCAGCCATGTAATGGGAAGATGAGAGAGAGGGAGGATTGGGTGAGAGCTCACTGCAGGAGGGAAACTCTCAGTTACAAAGTTATTATCTACCTGGAGAGCCTTTAGCAGCAGAACAGTTAGTGACTAATTAGATTTCCTTTCTGATGTTTTTCATTAACCCCTTCATTTGGGAGAGTCAGTGCCGTGAGGGACTGACATTTAACTGCATTTACAGAGTGGGGGAAATCCACTGTGCAGTTGGATTTTTTTTAAAAAAATTCATCTGTTTACTTATTTGACTGTGATTGTTGATATGAATGTTGTGCTCTTTTTTCTCAGACACTTTGATTTCAAGCAGTCCTATATTGTGTAGGGATTTAACTCAGAATCTTGCTTTGCCCAGCAACTCATACTCCTCTGTAGTTAAAAAAAAGGAAAAAAATGGACCTAGGAAAATACACAGAAAGCATTGAGCCTATTAAATTGTCCGCAGGTTAGTTGGCTGTGCTACAAGATTTCTTTCTCTTTCCCTTTTTCAGGATGAATCTCATTTTCTTAAGAATGGGAAAACTGCTCGATGTCGGGCTGCAATGCCCCTCTTGAAGGTAAGCACCCAGCTTTCAAACTAAGCGCAATGCTTCTCAGATGCCTGGTGCTTGGGCATTCACTTGGAAGTCACAAAGAATTTCGCTGGATCATGCAGTGCCACTGCATATAGAGGAGAAAATCCATGCTGAGGACCGTGATGAAATAACCCTTGGCCCAAAGCCGTCTCTGCACAAAGCCTGTGTGGATGTTGCCACAGTCAGTCCAGAGGGATTTTGATTCCAAAATTCCCAACTGACTGATTTGCCAATTAACTAATTTCCATTATGCCCATTTGGCCAAGTGCAGAAGAGCCCACGATTGGTACCTGGCACATAGGCATCAGCCATTGCCAGCCCAGTTGGTGATGAAAGAGGATGGGAACTGCAGTCTAGAAGCAACTGGTGGGCTATCATACACAGAGGCTGTAAGGTAGCTAGACAATTCTTGTGATTTTCCTACATCCTTTGGAACCTTCTTCTAAAATTGTAGCTTGGGCTGTTATGAAGTTGAGGGCTTGCCTGCCCTTGATCAGGACTCATAAGAACAGCTTTCTTCAACTTGGCATTCTCCAGATGTGTGGGTCCAGAACTCCCTTCATCCATCACCACTGACCATACTGGTTGTGGTTAATGGGAACTGTAATCCAACATACTTGGAGGCTGCCAGGTTGAGGGAGGCTGTATAGCAACATGGGTGCCAAAGTTACTTAAGAATTATAGGATTGGACCAGGTGCCTACTTGACTGAGCATTCTGCTTGGAGGTGTGATGAGAGAAATGCATTTGGGACAGCTCCAAGCCTAGCCTAAAAGAGGCAAGCTTTCCATCTGGTTTATCTGCAGAATGTGGGATTCTATTGCCTCTCAGTGTCGAGATTCCACTTGGTTCCAAAGGCTTATCTTTTGTGACTCCATCTCCTTTTGCAACCTCTTACGACGTTGCCTACTCCTGCACTGTTTAGGTCAGTTATGTCCCAACATGTATAACAGATAAACAAAGGTATCGAGGCACATTCTGTTCTAAGTGATTTACTTCATTGTGAGCGTTTGTGAATAGGTTTGAGCCGATTCAACTAGTCACAGTGGTTCCCAACTCTGAGTCCCCAGATGTTCTTGGACTAAAATTCCCAGAAGCTTTCAGCACTAGTTGTTTAATTCCCAGAAGCTTTCAGCACTAGTTGTGTTGGCCAAGATTTATGGGGATTGTAGTCCAAGAACATCTGAGGTCCCAAGGTTGGGAACCACTGAGCTAGTCATCTGAGGTCCCAAGGTTGGGAACCACTGAGCTAAAGTGAACTGATGGTTGCTTTCCTGCTTTCTCAGTTTTTGGTATCTGAGATTCCTCCCATGGATGCAGAGCACGGTATCTTTTACTGAGCTAGCTGCTGCTTCTCACCAGTAGACTGGAGAAGTGACACTGGCTGTTGCTGTGGCTAATTAGACAATAACTATTCCTTCCACTAGACTGCCCCCTCTCTGTGCCAGTACTTGGAGTGTTATGTGATCCAACATTGTGCTGCTGCCACCTGGCAAAGCATGCATCAGAATTCTTTCACACACTGCTTACGTAGCAGCCTAGCTTTTGTGCACTTTTCAATCCAAAACCATTTAAAAAGAGATCAACTATCTGCCTTAAAGTCCTTTTATTCAATTTATTTGAATATTAATGCTCAAGTGCCTCCTTCCACAGTAACAAAGCTTGGAATGTTACTGAGTTGTTGATAAATTTTTATATAGTATTCCAAATTTTGCATAGAAAAACAAGGGAGAGAGAGCAAAATTCTGCCATTAGCTTGGCATCGGGCAGCCAGCTGGAAGCTGTCTGATGAATTTTGCATCCTGTTTTCCCCAACCTAGCTACCTGTCTCTAGATAGGTGGAGCCATAGTTATGATATAGATTGCAAAAATCGGGTGATTGTGTTTTCCTATCATTAAAACTTCATTTTAAACAATACAGTGGTGCCTTGCATAGCGAGGTTAATCTGTTCCGGATTAACCTTCGCTATGTGAAAACTTCGCTAAGCGGAAAGTAAAAAGCCATTGGAACACATTAAACATTGTTTAATGCGTTCCAAATCGGCACAAAACTCACCGTTTAGCGAAGTTTCCAGGGTCCGGCAGCCATTTGCGCACCCTCGGTAAGCGAGGGGAGGGCACGAAAACGCTGCATGCGGCCATTTCGGGCGTCCGGCGGCCATTTTGGAGCCACCGAACAGCTGATTTTCGGGCATCGCAAAGCGAAGATCGGTAAGCGAAACACTTACCGATCTTCGCTATGCGAGTTTCGCCCATTGGGGCCGACCCTATGCCTCCGCATTAGCGATCCCGGAAAAGGAATTGCTATGCGGATTCGTCGCTATACGAGGCGCTCGTTAAGCGAGGCACCACTGTATACATGAAATGAGTTAAAAAATCCTAATAGTGCAAGCCTGATAATTTAAATGATTTGCTGAATAAACACGAGGCACATATGCAGTTGTTAATTATTTCAGTGTGTCTGAAATGTTCTGATTTTAACTATCAGGATGTTGATGAATTGCAGGTACGCCGTGTCAAAGTATTTATTTTTCAAGTGAAGCTGCCCTGAATAATAGCAATCTGTCCTTATTTATTATAAATACTGATATCTCACTGACTATCAGTTAAGTTGATTTATACTAAGACTGATAGTTACACTGCCATGAGCATTTGACCTAGTAAATATGATTTTCTGATATGTAATGTGCAAATCTTAAGATGCCTTCTATGAAGGATATGTAATCAATAATGGATTATTAAGAGATCTCTAAGTTTTATATTCCTTCTAATTCTATTGAAGAGCAGGTCTGAATTTTGTATTTTGAGGAGAAAATTAGACATCATTATAATATTAAAAGCTTTGCCTTAATGGTTGTTGTGGGTTTTTCAGACTTGTAGCTGGGTATTGTTGTGATTAGAGAGATTATCTGTCACTATGATTGATGAGTGTCATTAGCTGGTCTTTTGTGTGCAGTGATCACTGGTCCTTGTACCTGGGTAGAGTTCGTTGACTTTTTGCAGGCTGCATTTTTCAGTGCTGGGAGCTAGGGTTTGTTGTGTTTTAAACTTTGTTCTTTTTTGTTGAAGCTCTGCTGGCACTGAAAAATACAGCCTGCAAAAGGTCAAGGAACTCTACCCAGCTACAAGGACCAGTGATCACTGCACACAAAAGACCAGCTAATGACACTCATCAATCATAGTGACAGATAATCTCTCTAATCACAACAATACACCCACAACAAAAAACACACTGATCACCACAGTCACCCATCTCCTGAAAAGGAGAAAAGCTGATCCCACAGCTATAAATACTCAATTATCCAAACAAACTGCACCAGAGCACAGACAGAGTTCTGACTCCTGTCCTCTGAAGATGCCGGCCACAGACACTGGCGAAACATTAGGAAGAACGACCTTCAGAACAGGGCCAAGAGCCTGAAAAACCCACAACAACTATCAGATCCTAGTTGTGAAAGCCTTCGAGAATACTTTGCCTTAATCTTTGATATCATTTGGTCATTGATGGTTTCTTAAGATAAAGCGGCTTTTCCCCCAAAATCTTTTTTTTCTGGCTTTCGAATACAAATTGCTGAGGAAATGACTTTAGGGCAGTGATGTATAGAATCCTCCAGTAGACCCATGTATAAAACATGGTGCAAATGTCTGAAAGTTTCAAAAGTAATTATTCATAGAAATGTTCTCTGCATTTCCACTGTGCTGCCCTAAATCCAGCACAAAAAGCTGTCACTGCTCTGATATCAAGTACTGGGACTGCGTGTGTGGGAAGTACGAATCTATAATATGCATCACAAATTGATCTTCAAAAGTACCACATTAGTGTGGTGTTCTGAGTGGATTCTTAATATCAGATATACCCTGCTACTATAGCTTTTGTGGTTCTGGTCCGGGAGCAGCCTGCTATAAAGATGCATATGCATACTATACAGTCGTGCCTCGCTTTACGATTGCCCTGTATAACGATGAATCTGCTTAACGATGTCTTTTTTGCGATCGCAAAAGCAATAGCAAAACGATGCTTCCTATGGGCAAAATCTGCTGTGCGATGATCGGTTCCCTGCTTCAGGAACCAATTTTTTGCATTACCACGATCAGCGAACAGCTGATCGTCGGGTTCCAAAATGGCCGCTGGCTGAAGAAAATGCCCCCCCGCTGTTTTTTAGGACGGATTCCTCGCTAGACAGGCACCGAAAATGGCTGCCTTATGGAGGATCTTCGCTGGACAGTGAGTATTTAGCCCATTGGAAAGCATTAACCCGGTTTTAAAGCGTTTCAATGGGTTTTTAATTTTCGCTTTACGATGTTTTTGCTCTACAGCTGTTTCGCTGGAATGATTTAACATTGTTAAGTGAGGCACCACTTACATAGGTTAACTAGTAGCTTTGTTTGCGGAATTTCTGGATGGATACTGCATTCACATCTCTCAGCCTTAAAAGCCTCCTTAGCTTTTATGTTGATTGAAGATAGGAAGGCCTTTTCTTTGCAAGAAAAAACGTGTGGCATAAGCTCCAGATAAGTTCTGTTCTGTTCTGAACTGTCTAAGAGTGCAGTTCTAATACCTTTCTTCCATTTCTGGGGAATGAGGTGGTTGCTCTATAAGATTCTTGTCCCTAGCACACCTTGGAATGCTTCCAGTTTTGGACTATGATACCCGGAGTCCCCCAGTCAGCATGGTTCTAATGGCTGGTGGTGTGTGTGTGTGTCTCAAAGATGTAATCCAAAAAAGTAGCAATTCCAACCAGTGGCACTACAAGTGCAGTTAATCTAATTATCAAGCCTGAATGTTCTTATTTACTTAAAAATAAATATGCCCACATGCAGCAAACTACATGCCAGGCAAAGTTTTTTTCCTTCCACAGAAATCACATACAGTGAGATGAAGTTGAATGCACTCAAAAATTGAAAAAGCAAGTCTTCAATCAGCAGTAGTTTGCCACCAATAAAGAGGCCACTCCAGCTACACAGGTAGAACCTGCCCAAAAA